GAATTAAGGCAATTTGTAATGACAAGTTTGGGACTTCTTTCTCCTCCATCCCAACTGCACCTTTTTTTTTTTTTTTTTTTTAAAGAGAAGAGCAAAACCTGCTAAAGCACCAGTATTTTTTTTTTTCTTATGCAAATCCTCATTGATCCTGCTTTGATGTAAGATACCTCTTTTCCTCTCTCAATAATTTTGCCAGGAGTCCTGCTCATATTAGAAAGATGGTTTATTCTGTTTTCAGAATAGGAACACATTTGTTTTCCTATACTGAAGTAATGCAGTATTTCTTTTTCACCTTCATTATTGTTATCAAATTGATGTTCTTAAAATAAGAAGCAGATCCTTACATAGGACAAATTTGCAATACAATGAAAAGCTGAAAGCAGAAGCCAGTTGGAAGAAGACATGTTGAACATAGAAAAGCTGAAAGGAGGACATGGGACACAACAGAAGTGACCAAAATGGCAGCAAAAGTAAGGAGTAGAAAAGACAAGATTTCATTACTTTTTCTCCCCTGGGAGTAATGAAGAACATCCTCTCCCTTTCCAATTTTTCAGTAAACATAAATTTTAAATGATCCAAGAAACAAAATATCACAATGTGAGACAGTGAGTCACTGACCTACAGCGCAAGCTCAAGCTTCTGTTCTAATGAACTGGACAAAATAGAGCAGCTCTGAAAAGTGGACACGGAAAAGCTCTGATTGCCAAAGAAAAGCCTAGACATGCTGTTTTCTGCCCTGTGGTACAGACTTGCTTTCAAGGTCCTATTTCACAGGAAAAGGAGATTCAGGATGAAGTCGCCTATTTCCCATTATTTTTCTAGGATATTTAGGCACCCATATAGTAATAAAACAGCTGAGCAATAGAGCCAAAGAATCTTTTTTCCTTATTCTCTCCCTCTCGCTTGCTTGCTTGCTTGCTTTCTATTTTGCAGAGTCAGAAATGTTGAGGAGCAAGCAGTCTTAATAGGTATCGGCAGTGGGGGCTGCAGCTGGAGCTAAGGGAGACCCCTGTGCTTTTATGACTTATAGAACAAACTCCACCAATCATGGAAACCACTGAGTTATATACTATTCAGGGCTTTGTTTGTAGAAGAAATTTATTTATGTTATGATTTGCAGGGGAAAAAAAATCTGTTCTTGTTTAAGAGAGTTAACTTTTCCCTGTTATCCTGTTTCCCCGTTGTCCAGCTACAATTGGTTCAGCTGGATCACCTATAGTAGTCATCCAGATGGACACAGAGCGCCTAATTCTGTCAACAGTAGTGTTACCATTTCCTTTAGTGGGAACAAATCTGAGCTCATAAATCATGGGTGAAGACATATCTGTCTCTTCCCTCTGTTCTTGGTAGTGTTTTTTTGTTCTTCTCCATCCAACAACATGCTTAGTCACAATCAGCCGGTAGATTGTGTAATATCCATTCAGAAACAAATGTACTAAAAACAATTCCTGGGGTCAAGGTCATAGCTTAGCCTCTAAGGGAAAAATACTGTCCTAAAGGGGAACTCTTGGTGGGAAGGCTGTTCTGAACGTACAAACATGTTCCATGTTACATTTGAAATAGCAAAGCTGAAGAACGTGTTGTAATTCTTGCTTCACATTCACCCATGCAGAAAACGGACTTTTTATGTGCTTTTTCTTTTTCTTTTTCTTTTTTTTTTTTTAAAGTATGATGTCTTAGGAGCTAGATTCTGATAAGCATCTATATGATCTTTTCCAACCTCAGCACCTGCAGTCCATATCTGACCTCACCAATAAAAAAAGGGTAATTTTTTGGAAGTGTGGCTCCCATTAACATTAAGTTTGTTTTGTTTTGTTTTCTTACACTTGGGTGATATTGCAATATAAGTATGCATAAAGTAAATGCACATGGAGAGAGCAGCTATCCAAATAGTAATTCATGGTTGCTGCCACTAGAGGATGAACAATAAACAACATTGAAACTGGATATTGCTAGTGACTCTCTCAAGGCATATTTTTTCATATGTGTATCCTGCAACAGATAATTGTGTCACTAAAACATTTGAAAGTCAACTAGAGAAAGAAATGAAAGTGAAAGCCCTGTAAATAAAAAAAAATATATATTTTTTCTTCCCCTCACCTCTTGTAGATATAGCTACATATGAAGCATAACAACAGCAGTTATGTTAAGAGTTCCTTATTCCTTAAGATCCTGGCATTAAAAAATTACAGGCTTTTTTTTCTGAGAGTGATAGATAATCATGGACTAGAGGATTGGACTATGGCTTAGTGCTCTGTGGATCTCATTCAAGTCACCTAGTCCTATAAATAACCAATAATAATAGCACTGTTGATGTAGAGTGTATCAGTTGTACTTCAGCAGTACCCTGGAAAGCCAACTAAGTCCCTTCATGTTTTCCTATAAATCATAAAAGAGGAATAGTGTGACTTTTTCAAATTCAGGGGATATGGATTACTGTGAAAGAGATGGTACAAAATATTCTTGTATTTCAAAGAGGAAATAGAAGTGTTTTCCAAAATCTTGGGAAAAAAAAAGTCATTAGTTGTGTGCAATTGCCTGCCTAATACAGCTTCAGGAATTGCAAAGACCGAGGCAAAGTCAAATTTGTTAATGTTCCAAGCAGTTTGTTTCTCTCTGCTGAGGAAATCCTTTGGGACTTTACTGGCACCAACTGGCTCCAGAAATTTGGCAGGGACGCAACGTTTTTGTTCTCTGTCAAACTCTCCCAGTGTTTACCCTGCTGAAAATCTCAGGAAGTTTTGCATTGTGATTGGCACAAACCTAAACACTTCCTAGATATTAGTAGCTATATTCCCTGGATTTCTTCCCCATTTGACCTAGCCCAGTGCAGACCCTGAGCAGGACATTCCCAGAAATTGCATCTCTGGCTTGCTAAGAGCTAGTCTTCTTATAAACAGCCATTTACAGCTTTTCTGCTTGCCTAGCACCGTGGAGGGGTCAGCCTAAGTACACAAAAGCACTTAGGGGTCTGACGAAGGAGATTAAGAGTATTGCTGGAAGACTGACGTCAAATGTAAGAGGGGGAGACTGAAATTGGGCAAGGAATCTGGTTGGGAAGACTGGGCATAAAAGACAAATAAGGAAAGAAGCTACTTAAGGACAAATTGGAGAAGACTTTTGATGGAGATATGTTAAGGCCAGGGACCTGGATGGCCTTGGGTAAGAGCCAAGAGTGGCTTTGAGAGGTGATTTAGAGAAAGAAGTGGCAGAAGTAAGAGCAGGACTTTTTGAGACCAGGATGGGAAGCCTTAAGAAGGAACAAGTGGAACTGGCTATTTGGAATGGTACATACAAACAGGAGACAGAACTGGGTCATTTGGATTAAGTGTTGGGTCATGCAGCCAGGCTAATCTGTGCTTGTCCCAGGGGTAGAGGAGAGCTTTATGCTAACCTTGCAGTTGCCTGATCTTAGTTCAGCCTCTGGCACAAACCAGAGCTGCTGATGAAACTCCAGCAAACCCAAGGGTATAGCAGCACATCTGCAATCATCCCTATTTTATCTTAAGAACATCTTGGGATGTACATCAGCCAGGAGCTCCCAGCTTGCCAGAGGAACCCGAGGATTCTAGGCAAGCAGCTGGGGCAACACATACAAACAAATACCAGAACATTAACTGAACTTCAAGCCAAGCAAGGGCGCCTTGGTCAATGACCTGAGGGCAGCATCCCCATTACCAGGCTATCACAGCAAGCTGAGGACACTCTCTTGAGAAACCATGGAGAGTTTAATTTCTGGAAACATTAGTGAAAATATCCTAATGCCTCTTAAATCCTGGGAGAGGTTATAAAGCCACAACCCCTCCTTGTACATGGGTTATGGATCATGACAACACAACTGCTTATTAGTCAGCATGTCTGGAAACTTTAGCATGGGCCATCTTTCTGCTTCTCTGCCATCTCGGACAAAAGACATTAAAAGTTTCAAGGAAATGCAGTCATTTTCTTCTTCCTTATTTTGGAGTTTCTGTTGAACAGACCATGCCCTTAGCAGAGCCAGGTACAAAAATATAAACCTAACACAGGCTGCATAGTGTAGGTATTGGGGTGTGCAGATACACTGCCACCAGATCTACCTTATTGCTGATGGCCTTTAAGTCATTTTGAAGCTTTAAGCTCTACCTTAAGTAACAGACAGGAATACAAACTAACATCAGTGTTATGCTTTTGGTTTTATTTCTCACCTGGTGCTTCACAGCAGACTGATGCCAAGAGCTAAATAACCATTTTGCCAATATGGATATCAGGGAACCTTCTCTCACCCCTACCCCAGTGTGGCAACTCAAACAAGAAAGAGAAAATGAGGAGTCCTTTGAAAGGCACAGAAGAGCACCAGGCACTGCTGGGGTGACAGTGCAGTGTACTTGCAGTCCAGGGCTGGAACAAGTTCATTTAAAACCAACCCTTCAAAACAAACTATCATTAATTAGTAATCTCCAGAGGCTGTCCTCCCTCCTTGGTACCTCTCACTATTTCCTCATCTCACCAGCTAGCAGCAAAAACATTCCTGATTGCATCAGTTTTGATTACTCTCTAGATGAGGAGATTCTCTGTTGACTAACAAGCATTATACCCACCACAGCCACTAGGACAGCAGCCTTCACTATTTGAAGAACATTAGCAATCCTAAAAGATGCAAGTAGTATATGAAAGAAGGTGCTTAGCAAGAGCTTTGGCAAGACCCAGAGCCATTCTTGCACAATATTCCCCCCTCACTTCCTCATGCCAATATTTCAGCTGTTGTAAATTAACATTGTCCCCCTTGGGAAGGTACTCCTCAGTTTTTACCTGACACTTTCTAGATTTAGGAGACAAAACAGAATCATGGGACACCAAGGCAGGAAGGGGAGGCTGGGAGAAAGAAAGGAAAAACACACAGAAATTTTTGGAAAGAAAGATAATGTCTGACAAACATGATAGTCTAGTCAGGTATGTGTTTTATTTGAACCAGCCATTCCCACCAGAATGATGTGGTAACATTCATTCAAAGGATAATTCAATCAAGCTTCTTCAATTGTAAGTTCATGTTCAATTGCTTCCTCAATATTTTTAAATTGGCGGAGCTCCCATTCTCTTTGCTTCTTTTTCTGTTATGGAGAAGAAAATATTATTTACTCAACCTCATCCATTCAGATATCACATGTTTAAAACAAAACAATAAAATAAATGAAACAAAAACATTAGGAGTATATCCAACTAGATTTGGGATGAAGATTTCATATTATTTTAAGCTAAGAAGTATTTATTAGCAGAGCAGGTAGGTTTTGCTAAAAGTTTCTAGGCTCCCCACCCAGCACTCACACAGAATAAGTAGCACAACTACGCTGAAATAGTAACAGAATTTAATGTTTTCACAGTGATATAGAATATCCTTATAGAGGATAGGCTTATTTAAGTCTTAGAATATAATTTTGCCTTCTTCTTTTCCCTTTCTATGGGTCCTTGACAATAACTGAAGCTGTAGAAATACCACCCCG